TTATAATAATACAATAATACGATTTTCATACAACATAAATCACAGAAATTATACAAATATTTTATATTTATTTCTATCTACAGCCAAGCAATAAATCATATTCAAAATGCCGAAACCTCTCGTCAAATCCTGCTGCCTGTGTCAGTCGACACGTAATGGCTCCATTATATCAGGAACTTTGGCCATCATTCTATCCATCATCACGATAATTGTGATATTCACAGCACGCGTGCATTTCAAGACGATTATCTTTGACTTCATACCAAACAACATAGTGAAAATCATTCTGGTGGTAAATCTATGCATGACCATATTGATATCATTGCTAATGATGTTCGGCGTTGTCAAGGTATGCTTATGACTATTGTTTATAATAGGCTAATTCCAAATCTAAATACATGTATATTAATTTTGTATAGCGCAATCACTATCTGATGGTTCCGTGGGTGGTGCTGGGCATAATGATTGCCATTGGCTTGCTCATTTCTGTAATTTACACTGCCGTCGTCTTCTTCATCGACGGCTTCGTACTGACGGGCGTTCTGTGGCTAATCTTCGGGCTGATCTGTTGCGGTAAGTGCATATCATCTACACCAGCTAATGGTGGCTACTCCTTGTGCGGTTTTTAGCACCGGATGGCGTTTATATGCCAGCCGTTTTCACTTTATTGACGCATTTATCATGCGTCGATCACCTTCGTGTCGAGAGCAAACTGCGGCTGGCGCGGAGTTCAGTCTGACTGACAAATGAGGCGCGAAGTGCCTTGCTACACAATTAGCTTGGCTGCCAAATGGCAAACAGTAGTCATTCCCATATAAAAGATATTCAGGCTCCGATCCAATAAAATCTTAATCTTAATTGCATTCATAGCCATTTATTGGGCTTCTATATTTATATTATTTTTTTATTTTAATCTACGCCAGTAATAGCTATTAATTTTGTTACGTCAACATATAGATACGTAGATGTTTACATAGATATACATATTTATCTAGCTAAACACGTACATATATGTCTTAAATAAAATGTTTACAAAGAATCAATTCATCTACTTTAATTTTACTGTACTGAAGAAAAAATTTGTGCTCTTTTTTGACAAGTGAATAAAAATATAATTAGTTTATATTATTTTTAATGCAATTTTTTGTATACATTTCTAAATACTGCTAACATATGTAGCTTCTTTTAAAACATCCCTATTTTCAAAGTGTGCCCGAAAGTATGCTACGCTTTAAATGTTGTCTGTATATTCTGTGCAGTGTTGTGATTTAGCCTTTTAAGAGTCAGATCTAGCCGTTTGTTAACCGATTACGATAAAAGTAAAAATTCCCCCATTTGAAAATTGATCATACTGTTTTTAATACATATGTTATCTCTATATTTTGATTCTGTTCAATTTAAATATTTCTATGTTTTCCTATTTCCAGCTATACTCACATATTGCTGGTGTGTCGTCTACAGTGAGTACGCAAATCTGGCCGAGGAGAGCGAACGTGGGCGGTACAACAAGCAGCCGTACCGTCGTTGATCGACTTTATAGATCAGAAAGATCTATATTATCTGTTAGTTGATAATAAACTAAAATAAAACTGCTTTTGTTCGTAATTAGATCATATGTTTAACTAATAATTTTAATTTAATTATTTAATAATGCGTACCCCATTTGGCATATACGAATACATAGTGTAGTTAAGTTAAATCAAATTATTATGGGGTATGTATTAAGTGAAATTGAAATACTTAACCCTTATGTAATCCTTTTTACTGTCCAATTGTTGTAATTTGTACGTTAATTTTGTATTGAATCATAATAATAATAATAATAATAATAATATTGTTAACACATGAATAAAACAATTATTATATACGGAAAAGTGTACGAGGTCATTGTGGGTTTATTGTGTATCTTCTCTCATATTTTCGGGCTTTCCATTTTATATTTCAAAATAGATATTTATTTCTCTCAAAGTCTATCAAAATTGTAAATTAACTAAAATATATGTGTATGGGTGTTGTATAGTAGTTTTGAGTGGGCGTGTCTCGTAAAGAACTAATTAAATTTATTTACAGTTCATTGCGTGAATATTTGGGCTTAAGCTCCTCAATGCGCTTAATAAAATCAGTTTTCTCTAGACAACCGTCACAGCTCTCATCCCAATCGTTAAGGATCTTCTTCAGATCCCGCACTTTCAGCTTCTTGAGGTCGACATTGTTCAAATCAATTTGTTTCTCTGCAAAGTAGATATAACTGTTAGAAACATATCACATATTAAATGTTGAATTTTGAATCACATACCATAACGTAAATCGCAAATTTGTGCATCCTTTTTCTTCAGCTTTTCACATACTTTCTCCGCAGGCATTGACCAACTCAGTGGTTTGCTCATTTCATTCAAAATACCTGTGGCTGACTCCTCAAGACCGCCCAGGTAATAACACTGCGTAAAATAAAAAGAAAGTTTTCGTATGTTTTATTTGTTAGATGAGAACCTGTTTGCCGGCAAAATGGCCTTGGTCTACTCACAAATCTATGTTCCTTGTTTTTCTGTGTCTTGCAGAATTTTTTAAATGCAGTTTCAATCAATTTATAATCCTTTTTCGTCGTATCATCCAGTGTGTCGGCAAAACGTTTAACAGTTTTCACACAAACTGTAATTACATACGGTGAAAATTTGTTCTACAGCATTTTATACTTACGTGGCCATCAACGGCCCACTTCTTATATAGAAGGTGTACATACCTTCGCAGTCGTCCTCTTTGATCGCCAGTGCCGTTTGTGCGACGCCCACTATGAAACACAACATTACTACTATTTGTGACGTGTTCATTTTGCACGCTGATTTGAAGTGTTTTATTTAAAATTTAGTATTTGTTTGATGCTTACGTTAGCTTGGCAGCCAACTTGTTAGCTCGACTTGGGTTCTTGACTGTGTGACCAGTCATTGAACGAGATTTAACATCGAATTTCTGAAGAAAAATACTAACCAACCTATATTGCATGCTTAGCAAAAATATACTGAAGAATACTGATATTAAAAAAAATGACACAAAATACTTCTTTGACGATCGTGTTGTGGAATTAAAAAACAAGAGTGTTATGTTTTCTTTTTATTATAAATCAAATAAACCGGTTTTTTGATATTTAATTTTGTGCAATTTATTTTTAACTTGTCTCTGGAAAATTATATTTTTTGATTATTTGTATGCCTTACCCTGCCTAAAAATAGACTATAGTGTAGTTTATAATTTATTGTCGAACGAAACAAGAATTGTGTTTATCTGAACGATTCATTTACTCATTTCAGTTCATTTCGGTTCATTTATTTCTGCCAAATTTAAATATCTACAGATTATGTATATATATTTAAAGAGCTTACAGACAGCAAATAGACAACAATTTTAAAAATATTTTCTTTGTATGAATTCTAGTTCATAAAGTAAATGAAATTCTGTTACCCATATCTATTCGATAAGATAATTTATACTTATGCGAGAGTGTATGAAAGCCGGTGTGCCGTTGCTCTCGTCTGTGGAATGCGAGAAAGCCGAAAATTCAGACAGTATTGACTCAGTCAACGCGGCGGAAAGAACTTAGAGCGTGTGTCGATGTCGGAAGCAGTTGCAGTGAACAGCTTAGTTAGTTTCTTCTATTGTTAAACGTAAATGAGGGGGCAAATATGTATCTCGTATTGAGCGAAAAGTGCTTTACCCGTGACGTCGCGTAGTTGTGCGATCTTTGAACTGCTATTTCTGTGAGAGCACTTGCTGCTGCTTGATTGCAGTCGAACAGTATTATTCGAGCAAGCGAACTGTAAAGACCTCGCGGCTAGCCTGTAACCGTTAGCAACCCAACAGAGAAGCAAAGCAAAGCAAATCAAAGCGAAGCGACGTCGAATTTGTTTACATTTTTGTTGAATGAAATTGCAATTTATTGACTTGTATACAAACCCTGAATAAGTGTTGGGTCTAATTGTTTAAACGTGTCTAACAGCTGCATACATATATTTTAGTGGCACACTTCAATAAAATAAAGTAAAGTTATAAAATGGCTGAAGTTAAATACTTGGTTGTGCTACCAACAAATCCCAACGAATCAGACAGGATGAGCAAAATGGGTATCCAAGGATGTCTGATGCAGGAACCAGAACAGTAAGTTAACTCTTGTTTTAGAAAATCGATGGAGCCCTTTAAGTAACCTAGTTTTTCTTAGAACTGCCATTACGAAACTTGCGTGCAAACATTTTTAATAGTTTTGCCGACATTCCACTTAAACAGGCATTTCTAAATTGGGTTCATAGAGCAAATGCACACATATTGGTGTGAAATATTTTAGCCGCATTATTGGCTTTATTTTTACAATGTTACACATACATATACATCTTTGGCGCAGAACAAGAGGTATTCAGTCTCTTTATTTGCTTAGCCTAAATATATTAGGATCTAATTGATATGCCAGCCTGCAGCATAAATTATCGGCGGCTTGCCTTGCTCTTGGTAAATCTATATCAGTTCCCACAACCAATGACATCATCAACATCAAAAAATGAAAGCATCATCAGCCACGCGCTCGAGACGCCGGCCGCTGGGATGCTGCGACGGAGACAACAATAAGGCGAAATCTTTTTAAAACAGACAACAGACAATTAATAGAATGAAAAGCATCAGATAATAAATATGCTTGTATGATGGCCAGTCAGCAGGTCAGCTTTTGGGTGCCCATTCTTCAATTCAATGGTCACTGAGCAAATGATGTCAATAAATCTTAATTTTACCTATTTCATCAGAGTGCCGATGCTTGTGGCTTTACACTGCTTGGATCCGGCTTTGTGTTGTAAGGCGTGACATTGGCATTTGTTTACAAACGGTATATTTCGTTCAATAACGCTATCTCGCCGCGATGATAACACGAGCATTGATTGTTAATTTTTCTTGTCTTTCATTCGTTACCTTTATAATGATAAGGTAGATCCATGACTAATGTTTACACACAAACTACGTAGATTCCTTCTTAAGATAAGATACCTCTCTAGGTAGCTCCTCTTCTTATAACCCCTTGAAATCTTCACTTGAATTGTTTAACTCATTTATTATTGAGAACATTATATTTATGAATAGTCTGATTGGGGTGCGTAGAATGTATGTAAATTACTCATATAGCAATTCCTCAAATAAACAAATATTTAAACTTTAAAGAAACATAACCTGTTGATACACAGCAATACCATAAAGCAATACGATCTAAGGATTTTTCTTCTGCAACATTTAATATATAAATATAAATCTTATATTCTCATACGAAAATGCAAAAATGAAATCAATCTTATCTTCATATGGCTAAAAATAGACATACTTTCTTGATTTCATTAACGAAAGATTCTTGCTTTATTTAAAAGGTCATGGTCTTTGAACTGATATTTAAACGAGTCTATAGTACCTATGTTTCTTCTGTGTGATTACAAACGGACTAATTTTAATATGTTTCTATTTATATGCTCATATCGATCAATTTGGATATATCAATCCGGCTCTAGTTGTATTCCCACAGTAATGAACGAAGCTATATAAAATGAAAACCTATTGTATTTTATCTATCCATCGGTAATAAATGATTATATATCTCTTATATATTGTCTTTTATGTATGTAGAGCCATAAATAACGTATATGTGGTAAAAGATATGGTAATTTGTCATGCCTTCAGTGGGTGTGAGAAAACAAAGTAGGTAGCACATTGTCATTAGAACCTCGCTTCAGTATATACATACATATGTATGTATATATTTCAAATTTAATGTCTCCAACTTCAATAGCAATGATGTGCTTCAAGTTCAGTCGAACAGCGAAGCGGATAGTAGGTGAAACCAATATAGCACTTCAGGAACACGTATGAGAATTAAGTGTTATTTGAAGAATGTGACAAACATTCAGAGAGTTGAGCTTTGCCAATGTGTAAGAACGGAGAACGAGGCACTAACGAATTTACAATGAATCATTTTGGAATACCGGTTGGAAACAAATTATATTGTAGGCGTAGATTGTGAATGTGTTGCACGTGCTTCACAGCTACGCGGAGATATTTGACTAGACCCACAAAGGTTAGCTTAAAGATGTGTGTAGGGGTATCTAGGGACTCGAGCTTAGGAATTTCGCATCTGTTACAGTGGAGTCCCCATAGACTATGTATTTGCTTGTTAATTACTAACTAAATATGCTCTTCTGGGGGTTTCTTTTTCTTTCATTTACAGATTCTCGATCAATTTTGTAAACAGTCCCAGCTGCACAGACAACATAACATATCATTTTAAAGTTAGGGTACCCGCACAGACGATCGTCGAGAATTACAAGATCAATGGCGAGTGGAGCGATGCGCATCAGGAGAAATATCTGAATATATTCGATGGTAAAAACGACAAGTCAATGCCAAGCATATCCAGTATTATAGATGACGGCATCGATGCCGTACTTCACTATTCGTTCACAGAGTCAACCTTTTCGCTTGAGTTTCAATTTGATTACAATAATTCGACCATACACGTTTACCAAGTGCGTGGCCAGGGTCACAATTTCGTTACGAAATTCGAAACGCTCTTTTCCCTATCCGACATACAGTCGATTCAGGTGTGGGGCGATGTCCAAAAGATAAACCAATTCTCATTGAGTTACGATTGAGGGTAGCTGCAAACCTGATAAATCTGTTTTCTTCTGGTATGTTTGGTCCACCGCTTGGTTTCTGTTTGGGTTTGTTTTGTTCTGTTCTTTGTTTGGCTTGGTTTTGTTCGGTTTGGTTTGGCTTGGTTTGTTTTGCTCTCTCCCACATCTAACAATGTTATTTGCACGTAGTCACATGCACAATTCACACGGAAGCTACATATATACATATGTATATATATATGTATGTATGAATCAAAATCGCAATCATTCGGTTTACAGTCCCACATTTGGAGTAAACTGCATCGTCCTGCTACACTTTTTGCACTGCGCCTGGCTGGATTGCTCCATTGCTGCATCATGAGTGGAGCGTACTCACTATCCAAGAAAGTAGTCGCTAATTTATTGTATTTTTCTTTTTTGTTATGTATAATTAAGCCAAAGAATTTAAAATTTATTTATTCTCTATAAAATATAAGCAACATACGAATTCGGCAACCGCACATCCCATTCAAAGTATTAATAATAATACAAAATAATAAAAAAAAGAACATGAAAGTAACTACATTATTTAATTTTACGATCCTAAATCCCATTAAATGTTGTGTAATTTGTTAATTTATGGTTTCGAATTCGATTCACTTGAAATTTTCAGAACGTGCTTGCGTAATATTTAGTTGGAATCGTGCTGCCAATGGTATATAGTAGTTTGCCTGCATTCGTTGCGTTTCGTGGAAAAGAAAATGATTTAAGGATGGCCAGAAAACTATTTTTCTTTATTTTTTCTTTTCCAGTTTATATTTACAGTCAACGAAATACCCCAAAAAGAACTCGAACATATTGTTTAAACAACGATGGCTGCCATCTGTTCTATTACGCATCGAACACAGAGCACTCCAAGCAAATAAAATATCTATTCCATAAATGAAACAATTGCATTTATTTTCATTTTCGATTTGGTTGAACTTCCCCTTTTCCATTTCCATTTCCACCTAACAGGTGTGGGCATTACAAAGGTCTTACTTAGTATTACAAATACGTTTACGGCTACTAGTTTATATATTTGCGTTTAATAAATATTTACATCTAAATGCTACTAAAATCGGCCTTATATCTATAAATATGTATCTCTAATATTGGCAAGTCCTAGCGCTTAGCTTTGTATAATTTTAAAATTAAAATTAAAGAAACAAATATAAATAATTTTGGAAACGAATCGTAAAAGAAATAATAAGCAAATAAATTAGATTGAAGGAACAAGGCAAACAAACAAACATATAAATAAAATATATACAATAAAAAATAATACAAAACGAACGCGTATATTGCACAAATAGAACTGAAAACCCTTTGCTTAATTGAAAAACAAAAGGGATCGACCTAAACATAAGTAAAACATAATGAGAAAAACGCGTTAACATTTGTTCTGCTAAGGAACTTGGCAGTAGAGCACACGGACTAGATGAGAAGTCGAGCTACTCTAGTGGAACCAAATCTGTATCTACTTTTCAAGCTTACAAACTATTTGGTTTGAGGATCCGCTGCCATTGTGAAATTGTGATAGTCCCAGCTGGACAAAGTTCGCCAGAGATGGCATAGAGGAATCGCCTGCCTGAGTTATTGTTATTGTATTCCCATCCAAATCTACATGCATGATTTGTGGATGCTGTTGTTGGGGCTGCTGCTGCTGTTGCTGTTGTTGTTGTTGGGGCTGCTGCTGCTGCTGTTGCGGCTGCTGTTGGATTTGCATTTGAGATTGCGGCTGCTGCGCTTGTGCGCCGCTTGAGGATTCTTGCTTCACTTCATACTGATTCTGCAATGCAAAGCACCAATTAGTCTATGTGGAAAGGAAAACTCAACGACTCTTACCTTTGCACCACCTGTATGCGCTTGTGTGGCAGAAGCTGCGTTCCCGGCACGTGACTTTTTGTGCATCTCACGATGCTTCTCATATTGCTGCTTCGACGCAAAGTTTTTATTGCAGATTTCGCAGGTGTGCAGTCGAGTCTCGCCAGGCTGGATGTTGTGAGTTCTGAGGAGAAGGTAAGTCAGGTATTTTAAAAAGTAAAATCTACTATTAACAAATATCCACAATAAAAATATTTTACTTACAATTTGTAGAATTGTATATTAAATAAAAATAGGCTAAGGACTGAATGGACTCACCGCTTATGCTTGTTGAGATTATCCTTGCGCGAGAACGGCTTCTTGCACTCCTCACAGGTGAACATCTTTTGGCCAGAGTGGGAGACGAGATGGCGGGACAAATGCTCCTTCCGACTAAAGGCCTTGTCGCAGCCTTCTTCGGTGCATTTAAAGGGACGCAGCCCCTCGTGAAGTTTAACGTGCTGCGTAAGATGCTCCTTCTTCTTGAACTCGCGCCGGCAGTTGGGACAGGTAAGTGCATTGACAGGCGTGGCTGTGGGCGGCTCAGCTACCGAACTGTTGGCCAACTGCTGCTGCTGCTGTTGTTGGGGCTGCGCCTGCGGCTGCGGCTGTGTGGGTTGTGCCGCTGTAGGCACCGGCAGAATTTGCTGCTGCGGTCGAGCGGCTTTTGTTTTCTGATTCTGCTCGGGCGGCTTACGATTGATTTTTCGTTGGTTAAGAATCTTTGTAACTGGCGGCGATGGCAGCTGCTGCACCGCCAGAGCTGGTGGTGGCGGCGCTGGCTCGGGTTTGGGCAGTTGGAGCTGTGCCTGTGCCTGTGCCTGTACCTGTGTCTGTGCCTGTACCTGTACCTGTACCGTTGCCGTCGGCTTTGCCTCTGGCTTTGGGGCAGCCTGTGTAGATATGCGACTAATAGTTATATTTTGTTTGTTGATCAGCGGCAATTTGTGGCTCGCCACGGGATGTTGCTGCTTGGGCAACTTGGTTATGGTTGTATTCGACGACAGTCGCTGCAAGGCAGCCACGTTAGTTTGCCCTGCCTGAGATGGCGGCTGTTTAATCTGCGGCACACGCTTAAACTCTGTCTGGAGCGTATTGCTGGACGTAACAGCTGTGGGAGCTGCAACTAATGAAGCACTGGACGATGTGGCCTTATATTTGATCTGCTGCTGTTGAGGCTGCTGCTGCAGCTGTCGTGGAGAGGGCATCTTGAATGTCACCGACGATTCACCACTGCTTTGCTCAGCGCTGACGTTCCGAATCACCACCTGTGAGCTGTTTCCATTTCCATGGGGAGATCGAATGATTTGCTGTGAGGTTACTTGTGCTGTGGCAGGCGCTAGCTGTTGCTGCTGCTGGCGCGAATGTTGTTGTTGTTGCTGTGAATGCTGTTGCTGCTGTTGTGAATGTTGATGCTGTTGCTGTTGTGGTTGTTGTTGTTGCTGCGGTTGTGGCATAAGGAACTGACTTTGATGTGTTGTCGCTGGTTGAAAGGCCGTCGCATTGCCCAACGTCTGTGGCGTCAACTGCAATGTGGCTGGAATGGAAGTTGGTGTCAACTGCATGATGGGCTGGCCGTCTGCTGTGGCCAATTGGGGCTGAAGCTACAAAATTGAAAATAATTAGAATTTACTAAATATGCATTTAAAAACCTAAACTCATAATACAAATATGAAAGGAATTTACCTCATACGTAAGTAAAATTCAATTTGCATATTATATATATTCGTTCTTCAGCTAATTAATGCTCACCTTCATTTGCACCTGATATGTGGTGGGCAGCACCAGATTCTTTGTGTCGATGTGTGCTACAATCTGCTGGTCCGAGTTTTCATCACGTATAGTTATTGGCAAGAAGCATTTGTTCGGAGAGAGCATGTTGGCGGCTCCACTACCACCAACTAGCTGAGTGCCTGTCAGGGATAGCAGAGCGGCTGCATTGAGCTGCTGGGCGGGCTGGGCTGTTGCAATGCTGGCCGTTGAGTTGTTGCTGGCGCTTGTACCGCCTGGCAGCAGTTGCAACTGAATTTGTGGCTGTGTCCCACCCACATTGCCGAACTGGGGTAAGCTTCCAGTAAATTGTGGAGCTGTAGCTGGCGATGATAGTACAAAATTTAATTTCGGTTTTTTGCTCTCCGTGGCATCATCGCCTCCATTGACCAACTGCGATTGCGCCTGCAGCTGTTGAATCTGTTGCCAAAGTGCCTGTTGCTGCAGCAATACATTGATGTCGTTAATCTGCTGCGGCTGCAACTGCAGTTGCGCAGCAGGCGCCGGCATCGCTGCTATCGTCTGCGCCTGCAGCTGTACAGATTGTTGTTGGGTCTGCTGCTGTTGCTGTTGATGCTGCTGTTTTATGTTCGATATGGTGGTGCTGCTCTGAGTGTTATGCACGGTATCCTTCTTACCAAGCGGCGTAATTTTGATGTCAGGCTTTAGGCGGATAAACTCTTCCAAAGTGCTGCAATCAAAGATGCTATTAGATATATGATTTGATTGCAAAAAAAACATACTTTTGCTTTTCGCTCTTGACATCATTCTGGGAATGTGAATGCTGCAACGGCTGCGCCGGCACGTGACTATCCACAGTAATTGTATATTGTTGCTGTGGTTGCTGCTGTTGCTGTTGTTGCTGCTGCTGCTGCTGCTGCTGCTGCTGGACCTGCATACCAACTGCCTGCATGATGCTGCTGAGCAGATCGTTGGGCTGTTGGCTAGTGTTGCCTGCGACAAGACCTCCGGATGATGTTGTGCCAAGCACGCTGAGACTCTTTCCAGAGTCATTGATGGCATCCTTAATGAACACCTTCTCCTCGGCCTGTAGCGTCCGATGGTTCAGCCAGTTGTTGAGTATCGTTTGAGAGTTTCTTGATATATTGCGCATTTCGTATATTTGTTCCACTTGCTGCGCACAATGGGAGCATATCACCTTGGGCAGCCGATCCTTTTCGTCGATCTATGCATTAGTATGACAAATAATTATTGTTATTAATACAGTTATGTTCATTTACTCACTTGCACTGGCAGACATTCTGAGATTTTCTGGCTTAAATTTTTTGCGCGTCCATCGGTGGAGTAAATATTTATTTTCTGTTCACTGCTTGCGGTGCAGATGCGGCACAAATCCCAAAAATTGATGCACCGCACATTGGACATGTTTTGTGTTGTTGTCCAACTTTAAGCAGCTAACGAAAAAAAAAATTGCAACCGCTTCCCGCGTTCGCACTTTGTTTATATACACAAAATAAACACACACACGAAGTCACACACACTCGTTGATAATCAAGGCTGTTGTCTGCTGGCTTCAACACACAGCTTTATGCATCCCGACGTGACTCATAACCGCATAGTTTGAATATGTTTTACACTCGTTTTAATTCTTATTTGTTTTGTGCTTTGCTTTAGCTAGATTTAGGCATCTATTCATTTTTTTGTGGAAATAAAAACTTGTTTAGCAGAGTCAGACGCCGCAATACTCTGACTAAATGGTATTAAATTTGACCTTAAAACAAAATACCAAACCTTTTCATTTTTCGGTACTGCCAACCTGATAGAAAGCATGCTGTCGATAACTTCACATGCAAGCTTGTAACGCCATCGCATAATGTGTATATGAAATTTCCTTGTGTGCGTAATTGCGTGACAGCAAAAGTTCTGTGAAAAAAATTGTACTTTAATTTATCTTCCAAACTCTATAAATTACCAAATGGGCTCACGCAACGAGTGTCGCATTTATGTTGGCAATTTGCCACCAGATATTCGAACCAAGGACATACAGGACCTTTTCCACAAGTTCGGCAAAGTCACGTTTGTCGATCTAAAGAATCGGCGTGGTCCGCCATTTGCATTTGTCGAGTTCGAAGACGCGCGGTAAGTAATGAAAACAAATTTTTGCTAAAGAAGCGTCAATAATCAGGAGCTCTTAATGATATTTGGTGACTAACAGTGATGCTGATGATGCCGTCAAGGCTCGTGATGGGTATGACTATGACGGCTATCGGCTGCGAGTTGAGTTCCCTCGCGGCGGAGGGCCAGGAAGCTATCGCGGCAACAATCGCAACGATCGCAGTCGTGATGGCGGCGGTCGCATGGGTGGTCGTGGTCCCCCAGCTAAACGCTCACAGTACCGTGTCATGGTAACTGGTTTGCCAGGATCAGGCTCGTGGCAGGACCTGAAGGATCATATGCGTGAGGCCGGTGATGTTTGCTTTGCCGATACATACAAAGACGGCTCTGGCGTTGTGGAATTCTTACGCCACGAGGATATGAAATATGCCATTAAGAAGTTGGACGATTCACGTTTTCGTTCACATGAGGTAAATAATTCAATCGCTTCATGTGATTAATGCATTGCGAATGATACTAAATTATGTATGATTTTCAGGGAGAGGTGGCCTACATACGGGTACGTGAGGATAGCGGAGACAATGACCGTGGTGGCGGTGGTGGTGGTGGCGGYGGCAGTCGTGAATATCGCGATAGGTAAGTTAAATGCTGCTAGGTAAAAAATACTCAGTGTACCTAAATATTTGAATTACTAAGAAAATGGTACAGGCATTAAGAAAACATGAATCTCTAATAAATATTCAATTTTCAGATCACGTTCGCGCTCGTTTTCATCGAGACCTCGTCGTCGTGGTACTCCAACATATTCGCCGGTGCGTCGTCAATCCTATTCCAGGTCTCGCTCACGCTCTAATTACTAAATTCTGCAATCATTATCCATTAATATTAATATTTCTTACGAGCAGGAAATTTTAGGAAAAGCAAGAAAACTATCAAGACCTCCCATATCCCACTAACTATCTATCTGTTTAGTTAAATTCTGTTGAACTGTGAATCGATCAAGCAGTTTCGAAATCACGAAAAACAAAGAAACCCTTTTATCAAGACTCGATCAATTCAAGTGCGAATCGAAAATCTAGAAACACTATCTACACTTGCTTTTCCCTTTATACAAACAAATTCTTTTAAATTATTAAATTCATACAAATACACATTTGACAAGTTAAGTTTTCGGAATAATTATAATTCAAGGAATTCATCTTTTTACACATTCCTTGTTTTAAAATTGGTTTAATTTACAAAAACCTAATTTATTAGAATTTATCCTATCAAACTGAACAGCAACAGCAATAATAAAAACCCAACACTATTGAGAATAAATATATGTAAACAAAATCCAAGCATAAACATTTTTGTGGAGTATACACTAACAAATTATTAATATTTCATTTTATTTTCTTCTCTTCCCCATTTTGCGCGTTTATGTTTGGAGTATAATGAGGATAATTGGAGGAGGAGGAGGATAATGAGGAAGGATAAGGATGAGGAGAAAGGATAATTTTAATGTTGATGATGGAGTGAAGTGTGAAGTGGAAAGTGGAAAGGATAAAGATGATTTTGGATTAAATTAGAGGAGGCAGGCAATTCGGAAAGCGTGTTATTTATAAAATGGTATCAGGATACAAAAGGATTTGGATATTAGATATCATAAAAGGATTCGGACTTTAGGCATTTTCTTTTACCTAAGCGAGAGAAACACACTAGACACAGAAAAACACTAGGACAACGTGGGATTCAGTTTTCCCACGATTATCGCGCTTTAAACATGGAAAAGATGATTTTGATTGTAACATCTTTTGCTTCCTACTGTTTGGAACCTGGTTAAGAACAGCGTTACATCTTTTGGGTTTGTGTGTTTCGACTTGGATAAAATTTGGTGTATTTGAGATATCTTTAAATATGTGGAAGTTAATAAACTAATGCGCATGGACAGGATATGCAAGGATATTGGAAATTTCGGAAACTTCGTACTTCACTTCAGCATTCGTTTCGCATCGGATTAGGAATTTATATTCGCATTTTTCAACCTTTTGGATAACATTTACTCGCACCACATTTCGTGGCCTTTTCGACCATATCAATGGAATTTCCGCATCATCCAACGTTGTCTTTCACCCAACGCTGGATAGTGTCTGGTCCTTAAGATCTTCCTCTATCTTTCCTCTTGGTATGTTCGATTTAATCGATTTAGCTATTGTTTTTAGTTTATTTTCAGTTTACGTTTTTTACATAAACCAAATAATTTGATATTTAACACTTGCCTTAACTGATGTGTTGCTTATGGCAACTTCTTCAGGCACGTGCTGTATATGTATATATAAAGGTGTACGTCTATGTCTAAATGTTATATGCAAAAATGCCAGAGAACTGTTGCCATATGCCTTATGTGTATTTGTTTGATTTTGTCCAACTTATAACTAGAAACTGAAATCCAAACCATAGCGTTAATCTTTTGCATGAGGTTTCTTATGTGTATTACATTTAAGCCAGCGTTGAGAACCATCGAAAATCAAATGAACAACTACTTAAATGAATTGGCATATAATGTGTTCTCTTTGCTTACATTTCTAAACTTTACTTAAATATTTTCTACTCCTTCATAACATTAAATTGAATAAGTAAATGGAATATTTTTGAAATTAAATAAACCAATAAACTGGGAGACAATGCATATTGTGTTTTTTAATTGGGATATTTTTAATATCAACGAAGTATTTTCATTATTATTAATTATATTATTCCATAATAGAAATATTCTTAAATTTAAATGAAAATTACAGAGTTAACAGAGCCAATCGTTAACATAATCTAAATAGTATCGTAATATGTTTATCGAAATTAACATATCGATATCAACCGCGCAAAAATCAAATACATCGACAACTACAGCTCAGTCGCAGGCAAAACATCGAACGTGTAGGTTGTAGCGCGGCAGCCTTCGTCGCTACGCGTACAATACAAAAACATTCGTTTTTTTGACGCGAGTTGCGACCAATAAACTACAACAATACATGAAAAGTATGTAGGGTAGCACATTTTGCGCCAAAACCAAGAGTAATAATAAGTGATTAGTTTGCAAAACGGTTAGCAAAGTGCCTGTCGTCCCGCGCACACAGTGTCAGTTGTCAATGCGCTTGTTGTGGCATCACAATAAATGCATTTACAATTGCCGCGGGCTTTTCAAATAGTACACAAACATACGTAAATATATATGCACTTATATAAATACGTATGTGTTTGTAAATATATTCGTGCGTGTGTGTGAACTTGTTATTAATAACGTAAAGTGCATTGGCGCTTGCCCAACCAGCTGAGCGGCGCGCGCGACGTGTGGGCAGCCGGCAACACGGATGAGTGTCGAGTGGGCTTCCAAGTTGGAGGTGGATTCATCAACTGTTTGGGTATTCTGGAATTTGTTTGGCCTTCACTGGCATCGCGCTCGCTTGCCCCTCAGCACGCACAATAGGCGGATTTTTATGGACAACCATTGATTAAATGATTTATGGCCAGTGTCGGAGAGAGACGATCGTGATCTTCTTTATTACTCCATTCGCCGGGTTAATTGAGTTTATTATTTCCACTAAAATTTCAGGCTAACACATAAAAGGGAAAGTGAAGTTCGCTACAAATAGTGAGGATAAACAAAAACCTACACTTAACTACAACAGCAAGGCCGGCACACCTGTCAGCTATAAGGTGCGTATATCAAAGTAAAAGATTATCTTAGATCTTCTGCGTGGAATGGCACTTTTGTCGTGTCGTTGGTTGGTGAGATTGTAGTTTGTAACTCGATCTTGAAGATTTGTGGTTAGCTGGCGGCTGCTTGCATCCTTGCGGCATCAGCGGCATCGACAGAAACCGCCGGCACTTCTTACCTACCTGGTGTCGCTTGCCAACCGACTCTCCCTCTCTCTCTCTCTCTCTCTCTCTCCCTCTCTCTTGCAGCTTCCGTTGCGTGCGTGTGGCAATTGTCGTTGCATCGACCGACAGAGTCCCTAATATGACCTGTGTGGCCATCGGGTCGCTGTGCTTTTCCGGCGTGTTAATCTATTGTTGTTATGACGATGCTTATCGCGCCCAAAGCAAAGCCAAACTGTTTGTCATTGCGGCAGGTGCGTCGTAACTTTTCTTTTTGTTTAACCAATGCGGCAATGACTCTGCCTCTGTTGCCGCCTCCACCTTTGCCCCCTCTACGCAAATGTCAGAGTTCATTTGTGCGAATGATTGACGGGCAGCTGTCCCGAATGCGAACCCAAGCCAAACTATGGGAACCCTTTTTCCAAAGTCAATGAGCCGCATCGCGTACGCAATTTATGTTAATTGTTCTTGTTTGTACTCTGCCGCACACTTCGCCTGGCTCCATCGGCAATCTAAAATAGTTGGCAACAATAAGAGGTTAACAATTAGAAAGTAGACCAATACATTGTGTACTAAAATAGACTATTAAGTTAGAATTGTTGAAAGATTAAACAATCGTTTATAAATCAAATTCAAAAACTATAAAACTTGCGTAGAACAACTTGTATTAATGGTGAAATAAGGAAATAGAGTTCAAATGATGTGTTTAAAAGTAGAGAATATAAATAACGAGCAATAGTTATCACTCCTTCAATTATTACAAAAAAAATGTTGATATTAATAATATAATGTTTATAAAAACATATTGCATATAAAAAATTACTTACAATGGAATTTAAAAAAATTATCTATATATTTATTTTCATTATTATTGGTATGTTGATATTAAAAATCTAATTTTTATAAAAGCTTAGAGCCTTAGAAGAAAACCTTAGAATATACTTATATTTGTATTTTAATAACTATTATCTGAACAGGAACTATGTTAATATTTAACAAAAATATATATAAAGAGCATTTGAACTTCGTTCAAGTCTTTGCTAGAAGTTTCTCCATTCTTTTGTTGCGCCTGTTGCATTTCCCGTGGGGCAAATAGCAACGCATTTAATTACACATTTTTTAGTTTTGACTTTTCACGCTGCAAGTGACCCAACCATAACGAAAAAGTCAGGGAGAGCCCGTTGCACCAACCCAGCCCCTTCCAGCTGGAGTCGACTCGCCCCGGCCTCGACAGGCTGACAACAGCTTTTCCGGCAATTCGACTGTCTATAGTCAGCCGCAACAAGTTGTTTGGACAACGCCGAGCTGTCTAATTGTTTTGACTGCAAAAATTTTCTCCACACCATTTTCGGATACTTTCGTTTCGCCTGAGAGCTATGGAACTAGTTTTGTAGCCTAGCCAGCATAAAGCAGAGAATCCGCTCAGCCTTGCATTGACTGACTTTCGACTTTTGGCAATAGCATTATTTGATGAATGGCAAACTGAGCTGTGCTTGGGATGGGCAATCAATCAGACTGTCCTCAGAACTGGGTGCCACACACACACACACATACACAAACGCATAGCTAATTGGCTAACAAGCTTGACAAGCGACGACCATTGTGTGTCTGCAACTGGCGCTCATTTGCATTTGCTATTAACCAGCTCCAGCTCCAGTTGTCTAGCCCCCAGCTCTGGCAGCCAGTCCAATACAAGCTCGACTCATTAGCAATAATAGCTAATGCTCATAGGGGTATTATTATTATGCAGACAYAGAGACACATTTGAATATAGTCGTAAAAAGCGCCACAAGCGATGTCAACGATGGGCGCGTTTTAGGCGCCGTTTAATTGCGTCGCGCGCGTTTCTAGCGCGTTTTTAACCGGTTGCACATTGTGCATAAATATTTAATAACACAAACAGCAACAGCAACAGCTTTTTATGTATATTTTAATAGCAAGTGTCAATTAACATATGTATGTCCGTACATATTAATACACTTTAGATGCAGAACTTGACAGCCATTAATTAGTTTGAATTCAATTTAAATATTAGACTTTTTCTCTTCCTCTATCTTGTCTTTTTTTTCTATTTTTGTTTACTCAATTGATAAGGCTGTCAGGGGTCAGCTTGGAGCGTCGATTTAGTTTATTATTGGTGCCTAAAATATATTTTGAGAGTATTTTGGCATCACTTGCACGACACATGTTTAATATACAAGGTTGCAGTCTTTTAGCATACCCTGTAATGTGCTTCAGTCTCTTGTTAAATTTATCTTATTCTATTTACTTAATCAATTTATTTTGGCATGTTTTTTCCTTTTTTATAGCCTATAAAAAGTGCCTATCTTTTGTAATTTTGTTGATGAACTGGTTTTTAATAGCATTTTTATAGCTGTTTACTTAATTTATTTTAAATACTTCGCTGATTCTATGATCTTTGATATCATATTGATCTCGTAATAAAACTATTTTTAGTATGACATTGCTCAGATATAACTTTAAGGCTCCAAAGTATCCCTTGATATCGAATAGGTAAATCAAGCATTAATGAAAAACGGTGTTAAAAATTCATATGATAGCCCATTGATGACTTTTATGGGCCTACAAGAAATGCTGTTTATACAATCAGGCAATATTAATAGGGCTGTTAATGATTATTGTATATGTTTACGAGGCGTTGAAAAAGATATCGACAACAAATTGTAGGGCCTTTAAGTACTTAGCATGCAATTGCTGTGGCCAGACAAGCTCTGTGCTGCCTAGCCGTAAGGCTATTCCAATAAAGAGGATTAGGCCTAGCGACAATGGAGGACGTGGATGTCAGGGTAGATAGGTAGCCAGGTATATGCATATAATTATATACGCAAATGTGCGTAATTGCAGTGGCTATTAAAATAATTCAGCTCGTGCCGGCAATGAAACGCATCGTAATGGGCCTGGCATCTGGGGAAGGGTAGCTGATTACTTCAACCACGTCCGCCTCGGGGGTATTAACATAATTTTGCTAATATTTTGAGCAAAAGAGCCCACATAATGCGCTTAGAAATATGAATAAAAGCGGCATTAACCCGAATGACCACGCCAGCTGCTGCGAATTGCACAGGCACAACAAAGGCTCACACTGAGGCTGAGATGCACTTCGGATTCGGATGCGGCCTCCAGCTGCAAGATGAGCTGGGCTGAGCAAAAACGCGCCAATGCAACGGCTGCAGCAGCAGCAGCAGCAACAGCAGTGGTGACGCCAACTGCACCAAAGTGGAAAATCCTGTCTGACAACATTAAAACAAAAAAAAAAAAAACAAAAAAAACAGTAGAAAAAAGAAAAAGTAAAAAAAAAAAACGCACACAAAACACATAATAAGCGTGAAAAAAAGCAAAATGAGAGCAAACCAGAGCAAGCCAGACCGAGTCTGGCCTGGCCAGGCGGTGCCGGGCTGGGCCAGGATTAAAAAGGCAATGAAAAGCGAATGCGGCTAGAGAACAACAAGAAATTACGTACAATGTACAAACTGTTCTATCTACTATTCAGAAAGACTGCCCACGGCTAGCAGACTGAATGCCCTCGACTTGCAAAAGAGTTGTCCAGGATTATTTTCTAGTATTGATATTTGTATATTCTCTTATTTTAATTTCATTTAAAATGTTTAAACATCTCAATTGAGCAATAAAACATATAGTAAACTATTATTGCTTAACTTGATTTGAGTTCCAGTTTTCAAAAACCAGATTTCAGCTTTTATATAAATATTTAACAAAAAGCGTTTTTAAGATTGTTGAGAAATGATTATGTACATAAAATATAAAATATATTTCGATTTTAAATGGACTTCAACAAAAATTATGTATGTGTTTAATTAAAAATGAGCACATGTTAAATATATTAAAAGATGTAGAGATTTTTCAAATGATGTAAAACTAACAATTTTTAACTATATCTCAAAGCAACATATTCCCAAATATTCTATTTAAATTAATTTATATTTCCGTTATCCAAATCATTAATTTTTCTCGAAATCGTTCAAGTAATTTGAATAATTTCGTTCTGGGCGCTGCAAATTGCAAACTGAAATTATTGAAAAAATAACGAAAAAAGAAACTACTTGAGCCATAGAGCCATAATTTTGTACTGACAAAGTGCTGCTGTCAAAAGTCGGTTCATACAATTCCCAGAAATATTTTCAATTAACATTTGGCGAGGTAAGCTTCTTCAATGAGCCTCTCATCCGGCACGCTTTGCCTCGGCCTCAGTTCAACGTAACGCAATATATTTGGAGTCATTAATCACGGCGCCCGCAATCTCCAGTTCATTTAGCAACCTCAACACATAGTATGTATATATATATATAAAGATATATGTATATATTCTGATAGTTGGCGTCGCTGCTTTTCAACACATGCATTTCGTGCTGAATGTGCACATTTTTCATTTGTTTTGCCCAAATCTCAGAAAATTAAGGTAAATAATTTTCCATAAATATACGGAACGAAAGCATTCGCTCTGCAGTTGAAATCATAGTTGCGAAAATTTGTATACGTTTTATAGGCACATGCATTTTTCATTATTAATTGCTGGCTAATAGACTTTTATACATGTTTTTTATTTATTTTTCCTGCAATGACTCAGACTTTCAGTTGTTGAGGTAACTTGAATTAGTAATAAACAATATTTATGGACTTGTATAAGTCGGCTAACTTATTTAAGCAATTATTAAAATGTCACTAATCTTGATTATGCGACTCATCAGGCCATTAATATTATCTATTTCCAATAACCATTAACTTTTATTGTATTACGATAAATAATAGGCAGCGATCACAACAACAAAGCCTCTTTTATATCAACAGCGGCTATTAGGATAAATTTATTCCCTTATGATTGATTCTTGTATGCCTTATAAATGATGCTATTATGCTGTGAGCTGAAATATTTACTTTGTGCTGCTTTTTCTACTTATATACATATATAGCAGCATTTTTCTTCATTCAGTTTTTTGTCAAGTCGGCTACAAATCGAATCGAATATGTCATTTGCCGTGCAGACGCAGAAACTATTCGGTCTTTGTGCATGTTAAATAATAAGTGTGCCGGCATTTTGTCAAAGTCAAAAGCAGAAAAGGTAAAACATTTACTCATGTCATGCTACTTTCAAGCACACACACACATCTATACCCTGTATATGTCGTTGCATGTGTGGGAGTTTGACGGACCTGTCATTAGCAACAAATGGCAGGCCGTTGTTAACAAAAGGCCAGCAACTGCTGCTTACAGAAATGACAATTACTTTGGCCGCTGTGCTGTAAGTAATTTCACTGCTTTTTCTTACGGTTACAAATATTGAATAATTAATTTAACATTGTGCCTTATTGCGCGCCAAACCCAGAAATCAATTAATAACCAGTTGCGAATCGTAATTGCAAATTGACACAATTGCTGGAATTGCCTCTGATTGTTATTTATGCGCAGATGTTGGCACTAAATCAAAAGGTCTCATACTCTATATAATCATAAGAACAGGGACATGCCGGACTACACTGTAAATAATAAACTTATATTCATTTTATTATGGAATTCGAAATGTGTTTGCAATCATCTTAAGACAGGTCTAGGATGACAAGTCTTAGCTGGCTGAATATATATTCAAGTATTTTTATTATTACTATAGTTTTATGGTAACTTAAACTATTTTTTATATGCCTAAGTATATTGGATTATGTACAAGTCTTGATTAGAGTTTGCAGTCAAGTTGACTAGCTAATTGTAGTCTAGTCAGTAGCTATAAAATTGAAAAGCATTCGAAAGCTTTAACTTAACTTTAACTTCGCTACATACTTTTTGTCAAATTTTTAGAATTTTAAAAAGTTGCTCTAGGCGAAATGATTTCTCAAATGTATCAAATTTATACTTAAAAGGCATAAAGACTAGATAGACAAATTTTATTTGCAATAAAAACAAAAATTAAAAATTATTACAAATCATTTAAAATACATCTCCCCACTCTCTCTAAAAATTAAAGCTATTCAAAACGAATAGCAGTAGTCTTGGTGCACACACTCTCATTTGTCCGTTACTTTTAATGATTTGATCGATTTTATATCTAGAGTAGAATTTTCTCGATAATGTGTGGAAAACCTTAAATTTGAAATTTCAACCTCAAATAATGAGGATAATCGAATATCTAAAATAAATTAAACTGAAAGCTTAAATATTCAAAAAGAATATCAAAAAAGAATAAAAAGAATACATAATAAATGGATACAATAAGATATAATCAAGATATATTATAAGTGCTGATTTAATACAAATTATTATAATTAAATAGATCAGTTTTGATAATTTTATAAGTATATGCATTTATTAATTTTTTGCAATTATTATTAAATTATTTAAAAACTCTCTTTATTTGTAATAAAAAGTTATTACATTACCAAAAGATATCATTCAATAGATATTCCATCACAACAAAATAAGAGGATTTCCACTTATATTGGATTTCCGTTAACTACATTCCAAATACAGATAGGTTAGCTCTAAATAGCTTTCAACTTTCTCACACCCATCGTATATAGAGTGTCACGCCCCAGTGGGGGCGTAACTTTAGCCATTTGAATCCGAAGCCTGCACTCTAGCTATAGCTATCGCCCGAGCCTCGCCTCCTCATCCGCTGGGCCAGTGAAGCGTTAACTATAGCATTTTTGCCATTCCGTTTGTTTATTTGTTTGCATTGTTCATTTGACTGTATGAAATCATGCAATTACCTGTTCCGTAGTCATCGTCTTCTATTAATAAACCAGTGAGCCATTCAGCGATATCGTTTCGATATCTGCATCAGCTGATATAGGGGCAAGTTTTTGTGGGTTCGATGTGACACAGAGTCAGAGATCGTTGACTCTAAAGGCTCTTATCGGATGTAGGGAAAAGAGAGTAGGGTAAACTATATAGATAAAGCTGGCGGCATGATAAATGAACAGCTATCAATAATGAGAGGCTGCAGCAAGCACTCTCAATGCGGGCTTCACTCTGAGTATTTACCTGTAATCAAAACAGTTTATATATATTTGTGTTTTTTTTTTTTTTTTTTTACTTCTTGTTCGTTCTCTGTTTGCACTTCAAATGTTTGTTTACATGCCTGTCTGTGTGTTTGCCGAGCCAGCGAGAAACAAACAGCGCGACGAGCGAGCCACTCACTTTTCCATAGCTCACTTAAACTTATTTACAGTCGTTTATTTGTTTGTTAGCATAGGCAAACGCTGCGTATACGCAATGCGCGCATCTTATCAGCGATTCAACTAGGCATTTGTTTCACTTTTTTATGGGCTTTAATTCGATTGATTTTATCGAAGGACACTGACGCGGCATTCACCCACTTTACCATCTGCTTCCATATCGAGCAATTTCCCCGCTTGACTTTTCCAATTTGCATATGCAATGAGTGCAGCTCGGGGCAAAGAAAAATGCAACCGTAATAAAGGTGTTAATGCTTACAGAAACTAACAGCCGCATAAGCAAACTAGGTTAAAGGCGAGTCGGGTGGGGCGGGCAAGGGCAAGCCATTGCGCATACGCAGCGTTGCACCTAAACCATAAAAAAAAAAAAAAACAATTCAGCACGGCTGCCACTGCTGCTGTTTGTTCAATAAAAGTTAAACGAGCTAGCGGCTTAACCAGGAAGAATGATTGCAAAACAAAAAGCCGCAACAGAAATACACTTTCTTTTTAAATCTTTATATATGTATATTAGACAACTTTATGATGAATGTCAATATATTCTATAGTCATATGCGCTTTAATCTCTGCCAAATGATATTGAAATTGTAAATTAAATTCCGACATAAAATTTATTCTGTGCACAACTTTAAATATCTCTATAAGGTATACTATTAGATTTAGTCAAAATGTAATCAATAATTGAAAATTAAGGTTTTTATATTTATGATTGACTGCCTGTCTGTCAGTTAGTTTTATTTTGAAACAGATCTTACTTCCTCTATCCATAAAAGTTTAGATATCTTTGGCTCTTTAGAGTTTTATTGCTTCATTCAATGCCTAGCAGGTGGCGCGAAAATATCGCATAAATCTTGGCTCGCAGTCACAGCTAGAGCTCGAAACTCAATTAAAATACCAAGTTCAGAGCCTGCCAACGTGCGAAACTGACAGCTGACAGATGGAGATGGAGATGTAGATGGAGACGTTGGTGGAGCTGGGAGTGAAAAGCGCCTGTGTCAGGTCACGGACTCTGTCAACATTTCACAGACTTCGTCACACACTCATTCACTCATTCACTTAGTCGTTCGCTCAGCCATTCGGTACAACTATCAATCATTCAAGACTTACATGGCTCATTTTTCAGCATTTCGTTTGCGGCAGGTGCAAAAGTGCAAAATTGTCGATTCGAAATAAGCCAAAGTTCAAAAGTTTTGTGGCCCTCACTGACAGCCTGAACAGGGCACAGGATATTGCTAATTGTTATATTTATAAAACACTCTCTGTTCGATTGAAACTCGCTTCAAGTTTCACGGCAAGCACAGCCCTTGTTTGCCAACACCTGTCAAATACAACATGCAGTTGCGTTACCTGTCGACAGTTGACTGTCCGCTGTCAGCTGTGAATACAGTGAGCCGCTTCTCTTTAATTATCTGAGCTCAACAATATATTATTTACTTCCTTAGCTGCCAGAACGTATGCTAAATCGAGACTAGATATGCAATTGGTTAAGCTTAGACTGATTTTATATATCTTAACTGATTCATATGGCTTAGTAGTTATTAAGTTCGGCTATTGTATATTTTGATTTAATATAATGAAAGTCCACGTCTGTGTATTTTATTAAAGATTTTAAGAGTCGCGAATTTCTGAAAATATCTAGAGATTCTTATAAGAATATTTCGTACAAGAAGAAGTTCAAAGTATTTTTCGTTTTTTCGCAATTCAAGAAACTTGAGCTTTATTTTGTATCTGTGTAAGCTTAAAAACATTTAATTTTCTTTAACATTATTTACCAGATCAGTAAATTTAATTTTTTATTATTAATAAAATAAAAGAGTTAAATAAATATCTAATACATGGCTTTCCCTTTAATTTTTGTTTGCAGATCTCGCTACACAGTTGAGGAACTTAAAGAAAAAAACCTTAATTCAAGTAAGTAACAGTAAGCATAAGTCCCGTTATTGGCAGACAGGTGATTCTCTTTTATGACTCTGTGACTTTTATGACTGAATAAATTAACTAAATGAAATCCGTGAACGTTGCGGCAAATCCTAAAAATAGTCTGGGACAATCACAGGGGTTAACGGTACTTCTATTCAATTCCAGACAATTAAATGCAGTTTCGTTGACTATTCGATTATTTCCACTTGAGTGAAGTTTATGCGCTGAGGGGAGAGGTAAGGGAAGTGAGGAACTAACTCGACCTGTCACCTCGCTGTGATGTGCATGGGCGATGCCTTCAATTGATGTAAAAATCACGAACATGCATTTAATTCATTTGGCGCCTCGTCTGGCAAATGCTGTGAAAGCTGAAAAACATCGGGCTAACAACATTTTTGCACGCATTTTGCAGCTTGTCGATTCGATTTAACTCAATTGGCCAACACACATTTCCCCATCTTGGCCAGCATTCAATCCATTTACGAAAGCTCGTATATAGGTGTGTGTGTGTGTGTGTGTGTGTGCGTGCGCCATTTAGGGGCATTGAATACTTTTCCCAGCTATGGCTGGGCTGCTCAGTTGCAATGGTCCTTTATTGCCATTCCTTCATTAGGTTCGTATCTTGTAGATATTTTAATGCAATTTTTATGCGCATTTCTGCGCGATATAATGTGTGGCTGTCCTACAACCATTCACAACAAACTCAATTGTGATTCATGAGGCATTCGATTCGCAAGCCCATTTGTCCACTAGCTAGTACAGGCAACCAGAAAGCTCTTGAGATTCTATTTTATCTGGAAATCGTCAATTGCTGTTAAAAAGAGAATTTTAATCCATCAAAGAATGATTTTCTTTCTAGACTTAGAGCAATAGCAATTTAATTTAATGATATATATTATATACAAATATTTTGCAAGCATAGAAATAATTTCAATTAAATATATAACTTATTATTATATGTAATAATATGTAAGAATGTAATAAGAATTACAGAAAGGATCAGATCCTTAGCAAAAATACTATTTATTAAGTTAATTTATTCTTGCAATTTTTATTGAAACAGTCAACTTTTCCTGGATATAATAATAATAAAATATTAATATGTAGGGCTTATTGCATTCCCTACGCTCAACTCTACTTAATCTAAGACAGCAGCTGTGGCTAACAAACTAAATCCAATGATCCACAAATATGTAATAAACACACATTCAATGTTGGCAACATAATCTGAACAGACTTTTCAACTTTTAATCTTCACAAATAAAGCGACATTAAAGTGTCAAAATTAGTAGAGCCTAGCAGCATGGGCCGATATTGCTGCTAACCAAACTACAAAGCTCTACGAGTAGGGAATTATGCCACGCCATGCACGAGGCCGAGGAAGTTTATCCCGCTCGCACAGCCAGCAGAGACATAAATTAGTTTATAATAAAAAATTGAAAAGATAGAGAGAGAGAGAGAGAGAGAGAGAGAGAGAAAAAAACCGCAACGACCGCAAGCTTATAAAAATAGTCTTCATTGGCTGCGTTGTGTGAAAATTAACAGCATCAAGCATTCGAGAAGGCATAAATTGTAATAAAAGTCGAAAAAATGAAATAGCTGCTAGCAAATGGGAGAAGAAACCAACTATGAATGTTGCAATGGGGTGTAACCAACTGCTTAATACCCGTTCACAGTCCAATTATAACTGAAAACTAAACATGCTCGGTTGAAAATAACCGAACTGTTAGGTATTTCAAGTTTAATGTTGAAATGAAAATATACTTGCTCTAGTTTCTGTTAGGCATGCAAGATAAATACTCATATATTATATCTAATATTTGATATAATTGAACAGCAAGACGAAACATTGACAAACCCTATATACCATATACTCTAGGCGAGATAAAAAGAACGACTATGATGTATGCACTAATAGCAGCCATGCAGCCAAAGCTAAGAAGCTGTGTATTTGAAAGTTTGGGAGCGTAAAATGCGATGCGAAAGTTTGTTGTAATTTTAAAAATGTGAGAAACACTTTATTGTCTACAATAATGATACATTTTCTGTGAGTAATTGCTCGCTATATAAGGCAAGTTAAGAAGGAGAATGCGAGCTCAAATCCAATAATGCTCTGTGCTAAGCCTCTGCTTAGTGAGCCATGACATCATGAACTCGATTGAATCGCTCGGTGGCCTGACGGAGCGATAGACCGCGCGTCTCTGGCATCAGCACGGCAAAGATAATTAGGCACACCACCAGGATAATGCCCACAGCCAGGAAGTATTGGTAGAATACATTTACATTCATTGGGCATGTCTCAATAACAATGATGTGAATCACTTGCTCGAGGCAGACGATCAGGCCGATAAGGAAATACTTCACCTTCAGGGGGAACGCCTCACCCAAGTAAGTGGGGGTGCAGGAAATGTAGAGCCCAGCAAAGAACTGGAAGGCCATTGACAGACGAGAGACCTGGCTCATGTAATAGGTGCTTATTAGCCTAGTCGTATCGGAATAGATGCCCGCCATACCCAGCATCAGGCCGGCCATGCACAAGAGACCCAGTAGGGAAACGAACTTCCGTCCCACGGTGTCCAGCAGAGCCATGGAAAAGAAGGTGCCAAACCAGCGCAGCAGGCCCCACACGATGATGGGCCAGTTGAGGGCTAACTCGGCAACAACAGTGCTTGTGATCATTGAGTAGCTCAAGGGCAATGAGAACGTGAGCGGCACGAGGCAGCGGCTGAAGAGCATTTTGACGAAGGGCATCACGGAGGCCGCCAATTGGGCACCGGTGCTCTGGCTGGCAGCCGTGGCCACGTACCGCTTAGCTTCGTCCAGGGCTTCGTTATAGATTTCAGCATTCCCACTGTGGGCGTAGAGCATCTTCAGCTGTGTTAGCGCCTGTTCCTCATTGTTTTTGCGTAGATAGAAGATGGGCGATTCGATTGATACGACCACAAATGCTGTGGCAACCAAGGAGAAGACAATGCCAAAAATGCCATGCGCACAGTTGATGCCGACACCTGAACTAGTGTCCATCTGTGTGTCTAGGATCACCTGGATGGCAATGCCCAACGCCAAGCTGTACTGCTCTAGGCCGCACCAAAGTCCACGGCTGTTCTTCATCGTGATTTCCGAATTGTGTATGATGAAGGTAACCGTTAGGAGTCCGATGCCTATTCCACCCACATAGCGTGCTGCTAATAATGAAGTATACTCCGATGTGCTCACGAAGATAATTCCATCAATCAACTGCATCAGTCCGCCTAATGTCTAAATCAAAATAGAGTCATTCGATTATTACCTGTTTTAATTTGTCAATAATTTTCAACTTGCTCACATAGAATACCCATTTGGGTATGTGGGTAATGGACAAGCCCGCCACAAAGGCGCCGATGATGACGCCAATGAACCAGCTGTACTGCATCTCCGAAGTTGTGGGCAAATCCGTCGATATATTCCAGCCAAGGCCCTGGGCCATATCCATTCCGCCATAGGCAAACAACAAAATGCCTAGAGTAAAGATATGTTTGATCAAAATTTTGCTTCAAATAAAGTAGATTGAATAGGGATATAAAATATTACACTATTATTTATTTATACTTATTTATACTACTCCTTGCCTTTGAAGCTATGCGTATTTTTTTCAAAAGCAACGCACTTAATTCGATTCTTAATGAAATCTCAAACATATCTCATAAAGCTCTTAATCTACTTGCTAGTTCTATTTGATACACTTGAAACTTTAATACGGGTATTTCAGTTAAATATAAACTGGCTGGAAGAATTATTGTCGATATGAGATGATAATGTTGATAATTCTTCAGTTTATGCAGCTTATTCATATGTGTGGGGCTCTTCTCTATTAAATATAAAAAAGTAATTATAAGTAAACCACGTGGCATTGCATTTAACTCATATTCATATTTAAATGTCAAATAAAAATAGTTATAAGTAAGTCAGAGGGTCAAGTAAAGCAAGTAAGAAAGCTCTAGTCGAGACTGCTCGACTAGGAGATACCCTGAACCGTCCAAGCTGATATTCTAATCATTCTGCCTTCTTTTATGCACACATACATACACATGCATTCACACGCACGCATAAGCCTGCGCTCTGCTAACTACGCAGTAAGCAGCGACTGCGCTTGGGCTGCGCTGCAGTGTGGGCMATATWATGAGARTTTATTTGTTGAATAATTTCTTTTGTAGACATACGATCTTAATGAAACTTTCAGAGCGTAATCATATGGTGAATATGTGTGTACATTCCAAAGCCCAAGTATCTAGTACTTGAAATGCGTTTTTTACATATTGGGGTTTTTTACAAAGGGGGCGTGGTATCCAAAATCTGTAAATTACAAAATCTTTGTATCGATTAACTTTATATACAACGCAAATTTGAAGACTCCAGGTCTAAAAATGTTCAAATTAGGCTCAAAAAAACAAAATCAATTTTTCGATTATTCTCGATAAAAAAGTTATCGGACGATTTATCGAAAAAATAAAGCAAACTCGTACTGCGTATGGTAC